CCTCACACGCACCTTCATAAATCTGGTTGATTACAGTGTTGCCAATCTCACACATTAACTGCAAAGAAAACAGTCATTGAAAAAGCGTTATTTGATCAATAACACTAAAAAATATTATTACGTAACCAATTTTAAAAGCAATGTAATAGCAATTCAAATATGCCTGAATAAATTAATTGGATCTGTACTTAGGTTTGGATGAATAATTGTTATAACAGTTTATTGTTATATTACAATATAATACTGTATTTAATAATAGTAACAATAACAACATGATTATTATTTGCATAAAGTATATGAAGTGTGCTTTCATAGAATTCTCTCAAAATTCTCATTGCGATTATGTGCCCTGAGTTCATTCTAATTATTATTACAGTAAAACTATTAGCTAGTTAAAATTTCACATTAGCGTAATGAGAATTCAGGGGGGAAATTTGCTTAATATCTTATTTATGAATGTAATGTCACATTGCAGACAATCTGAAATTTGGACACTCTTTTCTTCGATTTCTTCTTATTTTGGGGACAAATAGGATATTAACATAATCGTGACAGGTTTGTGAGATTCACCCATTTAGTTCTCACTGGGATCTTACCTTCATAAGCTCTGGCTCCCATGTGTCCAGTGTTAAAGAGCGAACTTTAGAGCAGTGGACGCCCAAACTCCTGCAGAGATAGAATACAGATCAGAAAATGAACCATATCTTCAAGCGTGTTCAAGATGGCGTTGTTCTGATTTAGGCACACTTCCGTTATATTTTCTCATTGCAAAATAACTGTTTCACTCAAACTACCAAAGTCTAGCAATGGCAGGACACTTTAGGATCAGCCTCCTTTAGAAACCTGTCAGAATCACAGAATCCCCATCTGCTGAGCACATCAAATCTAATGCCTCTGTGTATTTGTGAGGCTTCTGTCTAACGTTCAGTCACAGACGCCCATCTCTGAGGAGGCAGGAGAGATTTAATCTGATTAGCAGGCTGGCGCCGGTAATCTGCAGAGGAACTGATGGAGCAGAAAAGGTGCTTCACCCTGAGGGTGTGACGTGGTGTTTACATGAGCGTCATATGGACGAGGGCCTGCTTTCATTTAAAGCCATTCTGCTGTTGGGTTCAATCTGTCATGAGTGATGCAGTTGGGATAAATGTTCTGACGCAGGTGCTTTAAGGCCTGTTTATATCTTCAGTCAAATCAGTATGGAAGCAGATGGCTTCTAAGATGTTTAGAGAGTCTTTATGTCAGCTGTACGACGTTTGGAGCATGTACAAGTCAAATAACAATGGCTTGTTTTGTACTGCTTTGTAGTATCAAACTTTTTCCTATGACCTATGATGCTTTGCCCCAATTATGGGAGTAACTTCCCAATACATGTAAAGCAATGAATGCAATAATAAGCATTTTCAAAAAGTACGATGAAGTGACGTTATTCCACTCACCCTTCAACCATTGAACATTAAAACGAAATTAAAAAGTGTAAAAGCATTAACAAATTATTACAACAGACCCTAA